GTGATATAAATGGCACAACCAGTGAATCCATTGGTGATGACAGTGGCTCTGAATGTGGGCTCAGCGCGAGTGCCACCAAAACGGCTGCCAGTGCTTCGGCGATATCTCAAGAAGCGGCACAACTGCTTCAGGATGTCTCGGGCTTCTCATTGGAGGCCAAAATCAAAAGCTTATTAACCGAAAAACAGATGTTTATGAATGAAATGAATGCAATTAAGACTGAATTAACTCGAGAGAGGGAGAGGTCCGCTAAATTGGAGTTGACTTTAATCCAGGGCTCCAACCAATCGGCCAATTGTGAGCCTAATCTCGACATTCAAAGTAAGTCTGTCTCGCAATGTATTATTGATTATATGAATAATGATAATTGCGTTGAAGGGGAGGCCAACAAACTGATCAGCGATTATAAGTTCAAACTCAGGAAATGTGAACAAGAAATGACTGTTTTGAATGGAAATGTGGTCCGACTCGAGACACAACTGTTGAGGTATAGGACTGCCGCAGAAGAAGCGGAGAAGTTAGAGGACGAGTTGAAGGCAGACAAACGCAAAACACAACGAGAGGTTTGTGCTTACATTTGAGGCTATTTATCGATTTAATGATTATATGACTGTTCGGACAGTTGAGGGAAGCGTTGGCAAGGATTGAAGAGTTGGAGACATCGAACGCTCACTTGCAGAAGCGAATCGACAAATTGAAGTCAAACCGCAATATTGTCATCAATACCACCAATTAATGATTAGACTTTTGGTTGAATGACTTGTAAATTAATTGCTAATAATATGTGATTAGAATAATTAGTTTTATGACTCAATTGCGAGCACTTTATACCGAAGGACTTAATCTCACGCCTAGAGAAGACACCAGACCTACCATATCTGCAATTAACCGAAATAAGTGCCAATTAATGCATTCAAACCAATAGAGCTTGGAATACATGAATCAGTGACTCATCTAAAGGGTTATCACGTCTATAATGAAATTGCATTTTCGATATATTTGATAAAACCGACTCTCATAACACCACTATATATTGCTAAACTTATTTAAGGGATGTATGATGTAAACTATCGGATTTATAGTTATTATTTATTGTTTTAATTGTAATTTACTGTTTTTATCGGTTATTTCAAATGTAGCTCATAATTAGTTTATACAAAATAATAAAAAGTTTTAACAAACTAAATAATAAATATCGATACTTAAAATATTTGTTTTTATTATTATTGAATCAATTCATGAATATTAATTACATTCAAGAATTCACTAATCGTTCGGCAAATTGTCGAAAATATTCACTCATTTCTGTAAATTCTTCACTTTCGGTAAATNTATTGTACTTTTTGGCCAAATTTGTAAACAACAAAACGATTTCTGAAACCTTCTCTTTGGATATAAAGCCGTCGTTTTCTCTCATTTGTTTCGTTAATTGAAATATATATTGCAATTGATTTGAAAAGAGTTTCTTTCCTTTTATCCTTACAATGAAAATAATGTCAAAAATCATTTGCTTGGAGAATGTATATTCAAAAATCAAATCAAATTCTTTGGTGAGAGATTTTTCTATGGCTTCATATTTTGCATCAAATAGAGTTTGGTTTGGAAATGAGTTCATCATTTCTATCAAGTTTAGATATAGTCTGTGAAGCATTTGATTACATAACTTGTTTGCCATTTCACTTTCCATCTCTTGAATCTCTTCAGCAATTTTGACGATATATTGACAACATTTGAACACTTCCGACGCTCTGTCAAAAGGACTGCTATTTTCAATTGACTTCTCCTCTAATACATGATTAGTATCAAGAAGTTTGCAAATGAGTGCCGCTTTCATATCAGTCATGAGTTCCAATAAATCTGTCTTCAAATGCATTTGCATTGCATTCAATGTATTGCAACAGAAGAGCAAAAGCATTAGTTCTTCTTCTTCTTCGTGAGAATTACTGTACTTTTTGATTGCATTACAAAATCTGAAGCATAATTGACACAAACTCTGGAGAATCCCGGAGAACCGCTCATAACTCCAGCAATGTTTGAATGTAAGCGAAAAGTAAATCAATGAAGAGATTGCGTTGAAGAAGAATTTGGTCCCAATTTTCCCCTTCATATCAGCTTTGATGCGATTTTCTGAAAAGTTTTCAACCAAACTGTGGGCCAATGTTTTACAACTATTCACTCTTTCATCGATCCAATAATTAAAGATTTCTTCATCAAAATCCATCCAAAATTCATGGCTATCAGTGTTGCCTGACTTTAGAAATTGGGAAAACTTTAAATCACTGAATTTGATTTGTATTAATTTATTGTCTATAATGGTGTTGTCATTTTCAATTGAAATTTGCTTTAAATAGTATTGGTCTGCATTGCCTTTGGTCTGAATCACAATTTTCTCTTCTCTTTCTAACTGTTCAGTCGTTTCAGCTTCGCTTGAATTTTGAAAACTTGTAGAA